GTATTTTAGGTGTATAATACCTACAAAAGACAATAATGTATTATACAGATGTTTTCCATTCTGTAGGCAAGGGCTACAAAGTTAAAAAAAACTTGCAGTGTTTCAAGGACAGCCTAGAATTTACATACGGATCGCAGGGCAGAATTCTCCTTCAATTAGCATATAGAACAGCGTCTAATCTCGTGATAACCAATGGGAGCTTTTACAAAAACAAGTTAAACAAAACGGACATGGTTATCGGCTTTTTTGCGATAAGAGTTGTGTACAAAAAGCAGAGAGTTGGGCTTTTTCATCTTTTTCTTCTGGGCTTCAGGTAAGTGAATCACTTCACCTTTCTGAAACCTTTTGCAGGAACTTTACGTGAAGACTTACTGATGTTGTGGGCTTTTTAAAAAATTTAATCACTAGCATATTTGTGGAACATGCATGTAGTGTATACATGTATAGTGCCACCCCCCATCCCTCATAACATTTACTGTAGTAATACAGAAATACAGTATGTCTATATATGGATATATATTACATAAACTTTATGCAAAGTTTAGTGAAGCAAAGTAGTTTAGCGCACCGCAACTATAGTTGTGTCTCAGTGAACTTGTCTGGTGATATGTAACAAACTGTACAAATGTGCAGATATAAGCAGAACTTCCCTGTACAAGTTTCTGAGTGAAAGGTTATTGTATGTATGCTGAACAAGCATCTTATAACTTAAGTCATGTCTCTTATCTTATTGCCAACTATGTAAAAGATAGATGCAGCAATACTAAGCTTTAGCAAAAAGTATGTTCGTTTAAAAAGAAGAACAACCTTTAATTTCTTCATATGTTATAGGGGATATCATTCCTTGTGAAAAATTCAAAACAAAAATAAAGTGTTTTGCTGATAAACTGAAGATAATAAGTGTTTCTTTGGCAGTATTGTATGTAATACTTAACCTGTGTGCTTATCTGTTTGAAAATGTCAATCAACGTTAGAGCCAGTTTCAATTTTTGTGAAAGCTGTTTGTCTGGATATAAAAATAAACATTGTGATGTCTGATGTAACCACTTTCTGATGGAAAACATATATTAACTTTGGATCATACAGGCCAAATGACCTTCTCTCATCTGTAACCTTGTTTATGTTTTCATGAAAGTACATTATAATGTGGAAAATGAATTCACTGTCTTTCGTTTGCTCTTCCAGTAACATTTTTATCCTTGTACCAGTCCCTCAGACAGGCTAAGTGCACCCCAGGTAATTTATCTTTTATTTTTTCACAGCACACACGGATGAATTTGAATAATACAGGATCTGCCATTCCTTTCCTACAGTACATAGGAAAGTACATAGTACTTACGTATTTGTTCAAGATTGACTCAGTCTAGACAACAGTAACTTGTTAAACAATTAATCTCAGTGGAACTCAGGAACATTGTGGTATTCATTGTGTAGCGGTTAAAATGATCTGCTCCCCATGCATGCAAGCAAGCTGTTGCAACAGAATATTGTCAATTTGCACTATAAAAACATCTTGTCATTTTTCCATAAATAGCCAAACAGCCCAAATAAAAACACAGCAGTAAAAACACTTCCCATGTTGTAAACAAATGTTGATCAGTGCTGACTATACAGACCACTGGTACCTGCCAGCATACAGACGTGCAATAAAGATGACTTTCCTCCTGTGCAACATCTGTTTCTGTTTTTCAAACTCCAAGAGAAGCCCTGTTTAAAAGAAAAAAAAATCTTCAATTTCATACCTGTGTTGCCTCATGGTAGATTTGTAGATAGATAGATAAGACTTTATTAATCCCGTAGGGACATTGATGTGTTACAGCAGTCCAGCCCAAGACAAGCAAAAACAGACATCAGAATAGTTATAAAAATAAAAGACAACAAAATAAATATAAAATACATAAATAATAAATACATAGGTGTGTGCAAAATGTGATGACCATAGTCACTGTAATGTAGTTTTGTTGAAAAAGATTTCTTCTATATCAAACAAACTAAAAGTTCAAATAAAGCACACTCATTTTAGACTTAGATTAGATTTAGTAATGACTTGTACATTCATGTACAATATAGATGTATTCTCAAAAGTACTTCATTTGGATTTTGCATAGTATATTACAGATAATGAAACAACCATCTCTATATTGTTTCCACAATTATTAATGTGATATATTGTACTCTCCCAGCAGTCATATCACCCTGCAACTCACAGCTGGCAGCCCACTGAAGCTAAGCAGGTGTGAGCCTGGGCAGTACCTGAATGGGAAACCTCCTGGGAAAAACTAAGGTTGCTGCTGGAAGAGGTGTCAGTGGGGCCAGCAGGGGGTGTTCACCCTGCTGGCCCCATGTGGGTCCTAATGCCCCAGTATAGTGACGCGAACACTGTACTGTAAAGAGGCGCTGTCCTTCGGATGAGACATAAAACCTCCTAATAATCCCCATCTATGAATTGGCTTAATCGCTCTGCTCTCCTCACAACTGAGAGCTGATGTGTGGTGAGCGTTCTGGCACACTATGGCTGACGTTGCATCATTCAGGTGGGGCTGCACATTGGTGGTGGTGGAGGGGAGTCCCCATTACCTGTAAAGCGCTTTGAGTGGAGTGTCCAGAAAAGCGCTATATAAGTGTAAGCAATTATTATTATTATTGTTATAGTCTCCAGTTGTGATGACTACTTGTACCGCTGGACCCAGGCTTCTGAGGTCGAGAGAGTGGTACTGCCCCAGTGCAATGGCTTTCCAACATCTTCCAAACAGATGAGCTGCACAAAGTACAATCGTCATCATTTGACATGATGGACAACCATCATATTGTACTCAATCAGACTTCATTGTCAAGTCCTTCTCTTCAGGCTCTCCCTCAGTACTGTAACTATTTTCTCTCTGTCTTGTACAGGAGTCTTTGTTCAGAGACAAGATGATGAAGTTAGTGGTGATCTGCCTTCTCTTCTTCCTGACACCTCTTCACAGCCAGGGTCACAACTCCAGTCCCTGTAAATCCACAACCAACAACAACGGTTACAACGACTTCAGAAAAAAACATTTCCCCCAAGGCTTCCCGAGACAAACTGACAAAGAAACATGGAAAGCTTTTTTGGAAAAAAGTGGTCTCTGTGGCAGAACGAAAATCCAGTCTTTCATTGATGCAAGCAGCGAATACAAGCTTAAAAAAATATGCAGGAGAGGAGGCAAGAGATACAGAGACAATCTGTGTATAAGCACTAGTGATTTCCGTCTTTTTGAAGTAGAAAGTATGAAAGACAACAATGGGAAATGTCTGGTTAAGGCTGTAAAGATTGACAACAAGCACATCATTCTTGCTTGTGACAAAATTGGGAATGAGTGTGTGCCTGTACATTATCAGGCTAATCCTAATGATGAGACTTCAGATAAATTCAATAATGTCTGTAGTTAAAATTCAGCAGAATAGTATGTTTAAGTGTCTTTAAGTTGTTAACTGCAGGTAATGTTTTTAAGTGGAAAAGGTCTGAATTATAATGGGATAATTGTTGCTTTCTTCCATTACTAAAAAAAAATGATAGCTCATGTCCTTAAATATGTCAGTTTTATTCTCTTCTGTCTCACGTCATGCTCAGTAGATGGAAATGTAACGTTTTTCATTAGCTGCTTTAAGAACAATTAAAAAACTCTTTGCACAAGCTTTGACAAAGATGCAAAATAACCCATCCATCCATTTTTTACCTGCTTCTACCAGTTCTGGGTTTGGTTGAGAGTGAGAGAGAGTTAGTGGCACCCTGAACTGTAGAGGGTTCAGCTACTGTGCTTCAACATCACCAGCCAGCCGACAGGCCTAATACCAGTTTAAGGTTGAAAGTTAGAAAGATAAAGATGTGCAAGAATTTCATTATGGACTGGATTTAGAAAACACAGGTGGATCCAGAGAGAATTTAGCAGTTTTTAATATGCATTCCTAGATTAATTTAAATTTCCCAGAGTCTCTGTAGAATAGTAGATTTGTGGTGTTCATAGCTGGAAACTGGGCACTAGTGGTTAAGCCAGGTAAGGCACACCCAGAGACATGGAACGTGTATCTTCTGGTGAGGACTGGCTGGGGATGGGGATTGGAAATTAAGAGTTTAGACTTTAAAAGGAAGAGAAAGGAGAACTAACAGCTGTGTACCTGTTCCTGCCCTCCTGACAATTTTATTGAAGATCAAAGAGCTGTTCTGCAGGAGATGTCAAGGAATTATTTGGACAGTTATACAAATACAGTACCTCTGAGTGATTAACTAGTTTTTGGACTGAGCAGACTTCTCTGAAAAGAGACCACTGGTACTGTACAGTACATCACAGAAGCCTGGCTTCCCTACTCAGTGGGGGAGTAGGATGATAGTAGCTCAGACAGGTACTGAGGTGCCGAGCCATGCAGAGCCTTGTAGGTAAGCATGAGGCTTTTAAAGTCGACATGAAACCGAAGAGGAAGCCAGTGCAAGGACTTCAGGACAGGAGTAATGCGATCACTTGCACTAGACCTGGTCAGGATTCTGGATGCTGAATTCTGGACATACTGGAGTTCAATGTTGATTTAGAAACCCAGTGAATAGAGTATTACAGTAGTCAATTTGGGAGAAGAAAACTGTGTTGACCAGCTTTTCAACAATGTTAGTGACAATATGGTACGTAGTCTGGTGACATTTATGTATTCCTGAATGATGTTTTGACAATATGTTGCACATTAAAGACCAATATCTTAAAATAAATTCACCACTGCAGCAGCAGTGCAGTCACCATCTAAAAACAGACAGTGCATACAGTCATACAGTAGTGCAAGAAGGCAGAGATGTCTGTGAATTTCTCACAAACTCTGAGGTACAAGGAGAAATGGAGAATTGGATGTAATTATAGTACATTTTTGGTTCACAATAAATAAACAGGGTTTACCCAGGGTAAACAGGGTGTGTATGGTAATAGGGATGTTGTTATAGGTTTATTTGTTACCTGAAAAGCCTCAGGGACTTTAGGTTTGTGGATGTCAATGTGAGTTTTGAGTGTGCAGACTCTAGGCACCAGCATGGTAGTCACAAAGAGACTGGGAGAGAACCAGTGTAGCAGTGCATAACTGTAATTCTTTTAAAAAAAAAAGCTTTTTGACATTATATTTGCAGTATAGAGGAAGCTCTCCAGAAACATCAAAACAGTAATGAGTGAAGAGTATTTAAATATTCCGTTTTATCCCATTAAGATCCCAATTATAATGCACTTTACCTATTAGAAGGAACTATTTTAACTGCCTGTAAAGTGCTGTACAGCCCTCTCCATAGAACACTAGAATTTAGGGAGGCCAAACAGTGCCCAGAGTAAAGAGTAACTAGGATGCTGGGTTAACACCCCTCCTCTGACCAACAGCATACAGTATCTATCATGGCTGAACAGCCATCATAGGAATTTCACATCCCATCCAAAGGAAGGCACATCCTACATCATCTCCCCTGGTTACTACACTGGGACACTGATTTAGAAACAGTGCAGATAGAAGTGTATATCAGACCAAGCCATCCTCAGCTCCTGACATCTACTGAGTTCAAGATAGAGGGCTGCAAGGCTAACATTTGACACACAACTAATGTATCTAGTAGAAAGCACATCTTTCTTCAATAAAGTACTGTTGTTTTAATCAAGGTCATGCACTGCCAAAGATGTTTTCATTCCATAAAAAGGAATGTGGTGGGACACTTAGATCATACTGTATCAGTAATCCCAGTGCACAACAGATACTGTGCCTTGTGAAACATTCACCCTTGCAATAATGTCCTGTTTGTGCAGACACATCACTTAATTTTGCAAACTGAACTTTTAGAGGTAAAAGAAGATAAGTGTAATCACAAAATGTGAATAAAGATCACAAACAAAATATGCTGTTTGCACATATATTCACCTTACTTGGTGTTAAAACCTTTGGAAGCAATTACAACCGTAAGTGTTTTGGGGATAAGGCTCTACCTGCTTTGCACTCTACAGCCTGGGCCACATGTCTTGAATTCACTTTTCTTCTGGCGACAGTCAAGATGAATAATTGCCCAGGGTATGCAGTGTGGGATTTTAATTGAAGGCATCGCATCAGTAATTGTCACAATTTACCAGTGTCCCTTTAATTAGTTTACGGTGTAATTCTGATACTTACATTAATCAGTTTGTACTATTTGTATATTAAAGCAGAGTGAATGTTTTTGTATTTATAAGAAATTCGTAAGAAACATACAGCCAAACATCCCTTTGACAGTAAAGTCTCATTATATACACATACAGAACACACACTGTGCATACACAAGTTCGATTCCTGTACTGTATTTCTGCAATCGTTCCTCAAAACTACTGGCATAGAGGATACGAGGTGTAGAATGAGGCCGCAAAACTGTACAGCTCATATTCGTAAAAACGGAGAATTTGTGTCGTGGCTCGTCGTGTTAAGCTAGCCAGCGCATTGAGGTCTATCGGTGTCCAGCCCTCGCTCCTGTGCATTTAATACTGCGCTCCTTTTAAAAGTCTCCTACTCCGACATCATTGGTCTGTGTTGAACACGACGGGCGGAGCACAGGGTTTAAAAGAGCCGACAGGAGAAGGTGGATTGAGGTTGATTGGTTGAGGGGTTGGGCTTTAGAGGTGGAAGAGGAAAGGATTTCGGTCTCTTGTGAGTCTATATTTATTTGCTTATTTAAGGAGCACTTGGGTTACTACTTAACAAAAGGTGTGTGTGTGTGTGGTTTCTCCGGATTTTTCATAGTTGCGAAGAGTTTTGCTGATGAAAGTGGGACTTCTGCTGCCGAGCGGTAAAGTGCTATTCTGACCTCTCCAAACTCTTCAGAGCGCCTGCTTTCTTATATACAACAGCTTTAAAATGTAGTTAATTCTTCACAAATGAGTAACGGTATCCTTATGACGATTCGGAGCTCTGAGTGAGGGAAAATAAATAGTGCTAGGTGGCTTTTGCTACCCCGAAACCCAGTGAACGAATCTGAAGACTTAATAGGCAATGAATTTTAGTCTTGACGGTTTCTGAGTGACGAAGTGTACTTGTTTTCCTTTTTCTATATTGCCTATTTTCACTACGTGGTCGTCTTTAACTTGTTTCGTATGTGTTCCCCTTGTCATGTATAATGCAAAGTGAATAAACTTCTCGTTTTTCCTTTTAAAAAAAACTTGTATTGTACCTCTTCCTGGTTTGCTATCGCTAACATTCTACCTGGTGCGTGTGTAAATGGACATTAACCTGGAATACTGCATGTACTTTTGCCTACTGTATATTACGGAAAGAATAACGCGAATCTTGTAAAACGGGGGAGGTTTTTGGTTTTAGATATTCGTGCAAGGGGAAGGTAAACTTAAGTAGCAATTTTGGGACTTCTGTTTTGCAGAAACGCCGGATTTCTCTTCAATAAGAAGCCTTTTAGAACACTAGCCATGTCGGATGAGGTTCCTAGCGCTTCAGCAGCAAAGAATACGTGTGAGTATGTTGATCTGTTTTGCACAGATACTGCAGATACTGTATGTATAAGACTATGGGTAGCTGTTGGGGGTGGTGCTAAAATGTAATTTGGTGCACCAAGTATCCATATAGATGAGCTTGCAGATTCCTACATGTCAATTATCTGGTAATTGATCCTAAAACGGGATTTGGTTTGTGGTAATGCTTTTTAAAGAGGTTGTGTCCAGTCCTGGTCCTGGAGGGCCAGCCTGCAGGGTTTCCTGGTTCTTTTCTTTTTTTAAAGAAGTAGCAGCATCCGAAAAGGTGGGACAAGTTAATGTTGACCAGCTGAGTTAGTGTGTGTAAATGCCAGCCCTCCAGAATCAGGATTTAGAACCCTTAACAGATAAATAATGCACAATATATTGGGTATGACCTAGACTTATTTACCATTTCATGTAGCCTTAAACACTATATGATTTGGTTCAACTCCAGAAATTCAGCTTTTATCTGATGACTGCATCATCTCTCTGAATAACTGAATAAAAAAAACTTCTAATGCATAAGGCAACTGTTCATATGCTTTCTTTTGCTGATACTGCTTATTTATACATGTTATTCTCTTGCAAGGTGATGAATGAATTTTCTATGTGACATGTAAGACTGTGATGCATTCCAGCCCCAACTCAAACTTGATGGTTTTAATTTACTGCTATAATATGATAGTCATGCCTGAATGCTGAATTTCAGGAAGTGTGGACATGTGTGCTCTGGGAGAATCCTTAACTGCACTTCACAAATGAGCATTATTTCTATACATGCAGAAATTGTATTTCAGAAAATGGGTCCTGAATCTTGAATGAATGCTTGCAGTAAAAGGGATGACTTGTACTACTCTTCTGGGAGTAACCAAGAACCTTACTCTTGCTCCTCAAGCCCTCCAATGTTTCTCCAAGAGAACCTGGAATTGGTCTCCACCAGTAGAGGCATGCAATCTCAATCAGATCCTGTGAGAGGTGTCCAGTCACCTTTGGTGTCCCAAGTTTCTCATTCCTCTAGACCGCACCACTGAACATAGTTGGTTTGATTCAAGGATATTTGTGTATTTTGTAGAATTCTTATCTACATATGGGCAAAATTGGACCTAGATATCCTTGATTATTGTCACATTCCCTTGCTGAGAACTTCTGTGATGTTAGTCATTGTAGTTTCCACTTTGTCATAGTGGATCACAACAGGAAATCTTACTTTCTACAGTGCTTTACATATTGTGAAAAGCATGCACACTTTTTAGGCTTTGTGAGCGTGTCAATAGCAATGTGTTTTTTTTTTTTTTTTTTTTTTTACTTGAATCTATTGATGTATTCATAGGCCCAGTGTTGTTTGGAATGGAGAGTTCAGGGTCCGCCCATATGGGACTGCCCCCAGTTGATTGCAACGAAGTGTTCCATCAGCACGCTAAGCACATTGGGAACCTGCAAGGCTTCTCCCACATCCTGTTTAGTCCGACTGGGATAATGTATGCGGTCCGTGATGCAGACATCTATGCAGGGTCTCCTCCAGTGAATCCTGACGAAGACTGGCTGACTAAGGCGAAGTGTGTTGGTAGAGGAAAATGGGATCAGTTTCACTCCCTCTTCTTCCATCCAGAAGGCAGCCTCTATGCTGTTTCAGATGATGGTGAACTGTACAAGGGCCCCCCTCCTGATAATGAGGAAGTGTCTTGGTTGTACAAGGTTGCCAAGATGATTGGAACTGTTGGATGGCTCTTCCCTTCCCTGTTCTTTGACCCTGAGGGTATCCTGTATGCTGTGACGTCGGAAGGGAAGCTGGTTAAAGGAAAACCTCCCACTGAAATGAATTATGACTGGCTCAATAATGCTGAAACTCTTGGAAGTGGAGGCTGGCCAAAACTTACCCATTTCATTGCCTTCTCTCATGATGGGAATCTGTGGTGCGTCTCCAAGGATGAAGGGAAGATGTACTCTGCCCCACCGCCAGTCCAGTCTTCTGCTGATGGCTGGCTTGAAAAAGCCCAGTATCTTGGCAGTGGTTATGATCGCTACGAGATGCTTGCCTTCACGCAAGATAAAACCATTAACAAAATCTTAAGCTTGGATTTTAACATCGCCAGTGCAAAAATTATTTCGCAAGAGCCTCTGACCGTTGGGCAACATGACTGCGACAACACAGCAGGCACTGTTCCTTCAACTGCCACTCTCCAGTAAGTTGATCACTTTTATAGTCTTGCATTTAAAAACCTCAGTTTTGTTTCTGGTGCAAACTTCTCTCACCTCTTGGGGAAATGAGATTCTTTGTTTTGTATCCTCACCTGACCAAATGACTTGTAGGAACTGGTCAGGTGACTGGAGGGGGGCAGATGAACTCCCAAAGATCTCTGGGAAATGTAGTCCAGGTCACAGCTATTGGTCTGATGCTGCCATTCTTGCTTGGCATCCCAACATTTAGAGATCTTAAGCAACTAAAGGTAATCTCTTAGGTTGAAATGCCATTGCAAGAAGATTAGCCTCCATGTTTTTTCACTACTATAGCAACCAGGAGACAGTTCTGGACTGAGCTGTTAGTGTGTTCTCAGTCCTTTCCTGTGCATCCACATGCTTTAAACTCAATGACGGAAACTTAATTTGATGTTGAAGGTGTTTTAATGTACAAATCTCCAAGACCTCTGATGGGGGTTCCAGTCACTTTCAAAAGTAACATTTCCACAGTTTGTTCACTTCAGCCCAAATGCTTCATATAACCAATAGATGTGGATGGGATTTTAGTTCAGTTTAATATGCATTTGTTTAAAAAAATGTATTGTATGTCTTGATTTGATAGAACAGCAAAAGAAATGATTTTATTTTCGATTGGTTAGGTTTTCAGAGCCCCTTATTCTGGAAAGCTCCTTTTCCCATGTGTACGAATTTACTGTGGCAGCTGAGGCATCAACAACCTTTAAGGCTGGAATCCCAGTGGTCGCAGAGAATGTAACTGCAGTCACTCTTGATGTTGGTACAACTTATACCTGGAACTTTAAAGAGACCGAAAGGAAACAGGTAATCGGAACTAGATATACCTAAGCAACAGAAATGCTTATTAAATCTCCAGTCAGTAAATTTGTGTGTGGCTACTTCTATACTCTTTCCAGGGTAGTTTCAGCTCATCTCTTCACATCCACAGCTAGACCATACAGAAGTCACTCTTACTGATAAGACTTCCCCCTCGTCTTTCTAATTTTGTATTCCAAGGCAAATCAATACTACACTTGCATTGTTCTGTCTCTCAAGGTTGTAGACCCCTCTACCTTGAGCATCCTGGTGCCCCCTGGGAAGGCTGTGAGATTCAAGGCTTTTGTTCAGAAGAGAACTCTGGATGTTCCTTATACAGCGAAGGTGACCACTGTCTTTGGATATGAAACCACTATTACTGGAAGATGGCTTGGAGCTTCAGTCTCCAGAGTGGGAATAAAGGAAGAAATCCTTGACCCCAAAAAGGAGCCATAGATCTGATGAAGACCTGTATGAAGTGCTTATTTCTCAATAAAGGATCAAATGACTGCAGTATTGAAATTGATGGATTGCATTATTTTCATAACCTGATTCCCTGTTACTTCTAATGTACAAAAGTTTTCTGAATTTAGTGTGATCACACTGTATTCTCCAGATTGGTCTGTTTTTTTTTTTTCCACCTCCCAAACAATATGCTTGTTGGATTAATTGGGGTCTCTGAACTTCCTGACTCTGGGTTGCAGTAATGTGTACCTGGAATACAATAAGCAGCAGCATTCTTTAAAGATGAACTGCAACAAGTCTGCAAAATACAACATGAGTAATCCCTCATCCAGAATAAACATGAGGGAAATGTTAAACTTAACTGTATCTCTCCTCTTCTGGAGAAATATGCTCAACCTCCTGTAGGTAAAGAATACTGGAATCTGGACGGAACAAAATCAAAGTTCATTTTTTGATTTAAGTGGTATGCCAAGACTGTAGAAATTTGCACACACTTAACTCCTATTTTGTATTGCTGTACTTAATTTTTAGTCTGTTCCGATGTCAGTTTTTGCTTGTCTTGGGCTGGCCTGCTGAAATGCCTGAAAGTTTTTTCTCTAATGTAAATCACCCTTTTTATATACAAGGGTGGAAGCTGGTGAGTAATAATTGCTTACACTTATATAGCACTTTTCTGGACACTCCACTCAAAGCGCTTTACAGGTAATGGGGTCTCCCCTCCACCACCACCACTGTGCAGCATCCACCTGGATGATGCGACGGCAGCCATAGTGCGCCAGAACGCTCACCACACATCCGCTATCAGTGGGAAGGAGAGCAGAGTAATGAAGCCAATTTATAGTGACTTATTAAAGTCAAAGGTTTATCTGCAGTCTGCCTGTTCACAGCCTTGCTATCATTTGTTTGTCAAACAAATGCTTTTTTTTTTAAACCAGCTGGAGGGTCACAGTCTGGCAGTAATCCAGTTTGCCTCCATGCCTGCTATGCCAACGTCTTATACATCATGTGTGCTACGAGAGTGAGGGCAGAGTTTGGATTCCAAACATCACATATCTGCATAGAGGTGACAGGTACTGTACACTGAAATTATTTGTAAAGTGCGCTGGAGAATCTCTACTGTTACGTTCCACATCCCTCCCCTAGAGAGCGCTCCTACCCCTTTCGATTATGATTAATTTCTATTATTTCCTGGTGCGTCTTGTTTGCTTTTTGGTTAAAAGCCTAGCGTCTCTGCAGTTCCGGGCTCAGTATTGGAAGATGGACGTTAAAAAGCTTGACTAGAGTATTTTCTGGGTTCTCTCGAAGGCAGGCCTTTTCCCCGGCGTCCTGATCGCCTGGGTCAAAGTATCTGGTCTCGTTATGTTTTTAGCTCCTGTTCCTGTGCCGGTTCCGACCCGGTTCCCCTTTTTAACCGTTTGTCTTGGATGGATCTCCCGGCCCTTGGATTACGGACTGCGCCCCGACTTCCCTTTTGGATTTCCTTGGACTTGGTTGGTACCGCATTTCCCCCGAGCACCTGCTCACTACAGTCACCGCCCCTGTCTTGTCCACCCATCCTAACCCCCTTGTACCTTCCTCCGTCGTCTTTTACGGATTATACCGTCCGCATAGGGTCTTTAATAACGCACTCCACGGGAATCAAAACCGGCTCCCGTGACATCTAGCATCTCAAGTAAAGATCCTGGGAAATAGTGTGATGCGTGCTTGTACAATATCAGTAATAAGGTATCCAAGAAATGTTCAAGCTCTCAATACAGTGTAACTTCCAGTGGAAATGAATGAAAGAAGGAAGGACTGTGAATGCAAGATAATAATTGCTAACACTTATACAGTATTGAGTGTTTCTGGACACTCCACTCAAAGTGATGTTGTGATGGCAGCCATAGTGTGCCAGAACACTCCCCACACACCAGCTCTCAGTGGGGAGCAGAACAGAGTAATGAAGTCAGTTCAGAGATGGGGATTATTAGGAGGCCATGATTGGTAAGGGCCAATGGGAAATTTGGCCAGGATGCCAGGGTTACACCCCTACTCTTTTCAAGAAACACCCTGGGATTTTTAATGAACACAGAGAGTCAGGGCCTCGGTTTTACGTCTCATCCGAAGGACAGCCCCTTTTTACAGTATAGTGTCCCTGTCACTATACTGGGCCATTAGGACCCACATGGACCACAGGGTGAGCACCCCACTGCTGGCCCCACTAACACCTCTTCCAGCAGCAACCTTAGTTTTTCCCAGGAGGTCTCTCATCCAGGTACTGACCAGGCTCACACCTGCTTAGCTTCAGTGGGTTGCCAGTTGTGAGTTGCAGGGTGATATGGCTGCTGGATACTATCTAACCTTGCACATGATCCTCTAATGAGCCCCAGAAATCAGCTGGGACTGCTTTCTCAAGTCAAACACTTTTGCAGGTAAGTGTAGGGAGTTGAAGTAAGCTCTGTGCATTACTGTACCACACACCTGTTCATTTGCAGAGTTCACAAAAGCTACTGACTGAAAATGCAGGCTTTGCACACATGAGGGAGACAACATAGAAGGGTTTGATTTGGAAAGTTTTTATTCAAAAACTCTTCATACTGTATAGTCAAAAGATACACTCACTTGTGAAAATGTAAAGAGCTTCCAGCTGAATGAATGCTATTTTCAGTGGTAGGTAATATGTTGGTGGATTAAGGAACATGAGTTTTTGTTTCAGAAACCTGAGCAACATGTACTTGGAGAATTGCAAGATCTTGGAAGGGGGCCCCTCTAGATCATAGCTGATGCACACTATTACTATCAGCTCCCACCCCAATGTATTTTACTATTTAGAATTGGTTAGGTTTTCAGAGCCCCTTATTCTGGAAAGCTCCTTTTCCCATGAGCACAAATGTACTGTGGCAGCTGAGGCATCAACAACCTTTAAGGCTGAAATCCCAGTGATCGTGGAGAATGAAACTACAGTCACCCTTGATGTCAGTACAACTTATACCTGGAGCTTTACACAGACTGAAAGGAAACAGGTAGGTTATCAGTACTAGATATACCTCAGCACCAGAAATGCTTATTAAATCTCCAGTCAGTAAATTTGTGTGTGGGGGACAGCTTCTATTCTTTTTCCACTCTATACTCTTTCCAGGAAAGTTCATCATCTCTTCACATCCGCAATAGACCATACAGAAGTCACTATCACTGATAAGACTTCCTCCACGTCTTTCTCATGTCGTTTCTAAAAACAAATTAAAGCCTCACTGCTGTGTTTTAAGATCTTATCTAAGTACAGTATGACTGATTCTGATCATTTCGCTCTGCAATTAAAGCCTCAACATTTTTTTACCCCAATGATCGCCCTGTGTTGGTTGCTTCCTGAACCCGCGCTAGTTTAGCAGCTGCTTCTGACAAAATCCGTCTGTGTGATGTATCAGAATAACGGTGTCAAGGGGAAGACTAATCTGTACTTCAAACTTAGAAAAATGATCTATCTGTGGGTTATATATTAGGTTATATTACAAAAATGATCATTACATCACCACACGTAGTACACAGCGTCCCTTTGTCAGCAATTTAATTCGGGAGCTTTATAACACATTTTGTATTTTGTATATTTGGAACAAACACAGAGTAAAGCTCTGTTTGACAATATATATCCTGTGCGCCATCTCCTGTTTCTGATTCAATATCGAAACCCCGTGACAGTCTGCTTGATTCAGAGTAGAGTGGTCGTCTTTCTGACGTCATTGGTCTGTTTCCACGCAAGGGGCGGAGCTCAGGGTTTAAAAGAGCAGGCAGCTGTACAAGCTGCGTGGTTGGTTGTTTTGGGGTTGGAGAGGTGAGGTTGAGGTTTTAGTATTTTTAAGCTTTTTTTTTTTTGAACGAAAGAGCAGTTAAATGTTTTTGTGTGCACCCGTCCCTGGCTTTATAAGCACAAGCTTTCTGCGGTTTAGCTATAGCTATGCATGTGTTTTCACCTGTTTTTCGCATTTCCGAAAATTTCACAAAAAGGATGGTGCGTCTTTCGTAGTCTAACGAAAAGCGCTATCCTGACCACTCAAGCAGTTCATCAATGCGTCTGCGTTTTTTAAAGCTTTTCCAGAGTGTGGGGCAAATACAATGGCTACTATATCCTAAGCAAGTGCACTTCCAATGATGAAAGTTTTTTACTCGGAGTTCTGAAGAGGGCTTTCGATTAACCTCGGCCAAATTGTTACCATCAGAACAGCGTGAGGGACTGGTCTAGTCGTCTTCCCTGCTTTTAACTCTTAAGATCTGTTCCTTTCTTCAGTTTTGCCATGTTGTGCCCTCCTACTGTTTTTCATGGTGTTCTGGTGAACTGTTAATGTGAAAGGAAA